AACCCCCTGCCCCTGGCCCCAATGATTTTAACACCTCTTAGGTGGTCCCCAGATTCTACTTCTAGTGCGCATGCCTGTTTTTCATTTTAGTAAGAAGCATCCACAGCTTTCTAAACAAACTCGTTCTGTGGATTCATGAAAAAGGAGATAAAGAAATTGCAATTGTGTCATTTCTGTTGCTCACCCTTTTTACAATAATCACCTTGGTTTGGGGGAAAGCTTCCAGTCCTGAACGTAAGCTCTACAAGGGCAGGGAATTTTTGGGGACTGTGTTCTCTGATGTAACGCAAAAGCTTAGCTCAGGCCCTGGCACACAGTAGGTGCCCATTAACACGCCCGCTACCGCGGTAGCGGTACGTGATGCCCGCTGGAGCCGGTGCACATCAGACACAGGCTAGTGCTCAGCCCTGAAAACGCAGTGGCAGTTCTCCCTAGAACTCCTTTAGACTGCCAGACATCCTATATCCCAAACCCCAGTACTCACATGACAGAAACCATAGTTTTGGGTGATAGCTTCCCATATTTGGGGCCCGGGAAGAAGAGGTGTTGCAGGAAATGCTTTAAAAAAAGGAAATTCAGGGCTTCCCTGGTGGGGCAGTGGTTGAGAGTCCGCCTGCTAATGCAGGCGACACTGGTTTGTGCCCCGGTCCGGGAAGATCCCACATGCCGCGGAGCGGCTGGGCCCGTGAGCCATGGCCGCTGAGCCTGCGTGTCCGGAGCCTATGCTCCGCAACGGGAGAGGCCACAACAGTGAGAGGCCCGGGTACCTCAAAAAAAAAAAAAAAAAAAAAAAGGAAATTCAAACTTTCTTTTGTATTTCTTTTTAATAATCAAATATCAGAAAAAAACAGGAAAGGCTATACAAAATGTTTGGTGGTTATCACTAGGTGATTGGCTGGTAGATATTTTTATCTTTATAATTTTGAGCATTGTCTGAAAAAATTTTTTACAATTAGCATTTATTCCTTTTATAATCAACACAAGAAATACCCATTTTGGAAACAAAAAGCAAATGCAGTGACAAAAAACAACAAAAAAAAAGAAAGTAAAGGGTTGTGCTGATTATCCTATAGCTGTCTGAATTTTTTTCTCCTTAGCCCCTGGCCAGTGCCTGGCACAAGTTGGCATTCAGTAACCAATTGCTGAATTAATGAATTTATACCCTTCCCATGATCTCTCTCAGGAAAAACATGTTCATTTAACTTGCTTATTTTTTTAAGAAGTCTATGCTGTGATTTTGAATAGAATGATCTGAAGATTTCAAAATAAAAACTTGCCTGCAATTATCTAACCATCCTTTCCTTTTCCTAACTGTCCTCACTCTGTACATACTTTATATATCTGTGTATTCAGATTGGCTGCTGTTAGCCCTTAAAGCAGAGACTGGAGCATTCTCTGAGTGCCTTTGAAGTTCAGTCAATGGTAATCTGCACATTTTGTAGCCAGCAGCTTCGTGGGAAATATCCATGTGCTGACTGCCGGTTAGTTTGTACCACAGTTTACTTTCTCAGTGTAGTGGCCTCAACAGTCTTTAGCCCCAAAGTTAAAAGCTCTCTGTTTCTGTTTCTTTCACTACTTTTGACTTCCTCTTTTGAATACGGAAAACTGGGGCACCCCAGGTGTTTCTGTGGACTTTAGCACCTAGAACTGAGCAGAGATTGGGGGCCCCAGGAGGTTTCAAGGTTCACCTCTAGTGAAGGTTACCTACAGCAGGGGGGAAGGCTACTCTATCCGGCCCAGCCCAGAACAACAGCACTAGGAACCAGCGCCCCAGACTTCTTTTTGACCAATGTGGCTTATTCTGAAAGAGGTTTTGTAACTTCTCACATGAGATTTCTTACTCCAGAAAGAGCTCCCTGGTAGCTATCAAACGGAAGAGAAAACAAGCACACTTACTCCTGTGCAGCTCTGTGGTTTAAATATCATTTCACAATTCTAGGCATCCTTTAGGTTACAATAAAATATAAAATAAAAACGAACTCAAAGTATCCTAAACGGTTGCAAATCTCTTTGCTTCAGCCATTAAATACCCAATAGTCTTTAACCTTAACCATTCAAGGTAAAAGATCGACAGCAGGAGTTAAGGGGAAGATAACAAAAGACAACTTCCCTGAAATCATTTTAGTGCCCAGTAATGTTTCCAAGAATTTCTGGGACCTTGTCTACAAGCTTGTCTCCTCCGTTCAGTCGTCTTTTCAATGCTTACTGTGCGTAAAAACCACTTGGAGAGTTTGTTTACGATATAGATTCCTGGGCACTATCCTTCGAGACTGTGATTTAGGTGGGATGGGCTGGGGTCCAGGAATCTGTACCGAGCACCCTCAGGGCTGCTGCCCCTATGGCATAGGGTGCTGTCATGTAGAGAAATGTGGCCCCTCTGCATAGACACAGCTTGGTGAGAATTAGAAAAATACCATCCTTTTCTCCAGGCAGATGTAGCCATGCCAGGGCCTCCAGCTTTCCCGAGGAGCACAGGCTGAACTAGCCCCACTCACCCCTGGGCTGCCTGCCCATGCAGAGGCCTGGCGTCTCAGGAGATTCCAGCATCAGTGCCCTTACAGAGGACACTTGGTAACCCACGGCCCTGGGCATTTTTATTTCTCTTCTGTTAAGAATAACTGCAGATCCAGCCCACATTAGCAAACATTACTGGACACCCAACGTGTGTAGCGCTTGTGTTAGATATGGTAGGGGTTCAGGAGAGTCTGTAGTTTCCTCTCCACAGCCGGTAGCTCTGCCCATCACTGAGGGACCACACAGCTGTTTCGTTTCATGTTGTCTTTGATGCCACAGAGCAGACAGGTGACAAAAAAAGTTGGTGGGGGCCACTCCGGAAAAAGGAAAAATGGAGGCAGGAGGAATTGAAATGGGAATCTTGGTGGACAAGATTTGAAGAGAGACTGAGACCCCTTTCTTTAGAAGACCCCTTTCATGGAATGACCTCAATGCCCAGAAACCTTGCAGGATTTGGCCCACATTTTAAACACCCTAATTTCATCCATTAGTTTTAGTTACAACTAATCTTATACCTGTCTCCCTGCCCTGGAAAACCTCACTCTTGAGAAGGACAGCCCCTATCTTATTAATATTAATTAGTATTAATCTACTACATTAATTACGTTAATATTAATCAATATATCACGTAGATTTTCCTTTTCTTTCTAGTGTTTATCAATGTTAAATTTTAATTTTTTTTGCTTTGATTGAAACATTTCCATTTCCTAATTTCTCATCTCAGAAGTTAACAAATGTGAGATGAGAAGGGTCTCTTTCTTTATACATATAAATAAAGCACCAGAATTTAAGTTTGAAGCCTTCTAGTGTGTTTTTCTTACTGTCATACCAAAAATTCAAGGATTCTCATGATTCATTAGCTAAATCTATAAAATTCCGTCTTCTTTTTCTAATGGAAAAAAAATCAAGCAAAATAGTTTCAAAAGAAATTAGACTAGCACGAGTAAACATGCCTATGTATGAAATAAAGAGTGAAATTAATGATAAAGTTATAAACACAATGCCTAATATATGTATCCTGCTGAAAGCAATAGTTGATGAGGATTCAAGGCTACCTTATGAAAAGCATGGCATCTCACACATGCCTGGTACATGTTGAATTTGACTAACTTAACTAAATTTAAAGCAATTAGATAAGAGAACATTGGTCTTTCGGCTGGACCTCGAAATATTGCATGTTAGAAATAATAACAAGAAAATCAAATACTATTAAAGAAAACTTTTTTTTTTCCCCCAGGGCTAGATAAGCTTTTAAAGAAGTGCTTCATTTCAAAGTACTTACAGTTAAGAAATAGGTTCTGGGCAGGCTGTATCTTGTGGCTTGAGAGAGAATCTCACTAGAAGTGAAAGATACAGAAAAGAGAGAAGTATGTTTCCATCGCAGTATGCAGTACAAAGTACATAATCAGTGATTTTTCATTGGCCAGTGCAGTCTGGGCAGAGGAGTGTTCAAGGTATGTTTCTGTTACTTTGATAGTGAAAGCATTTCTTGCCTGCAGAATTGTGTTCCTTCTCCTACATTGTGTTAAGTACACTCATGTATCTTTTTTTTTGGGCGGGGGGAAGATTTGATTCATTATATAATTTGACTGGTTTTACATGTCTGGCAGAGCTTACCAATTTTTAAATTTTACTTTTTCCCTTTAATACAATAAATAAGATTTAGTGTGTATTTATTGCCATTTTTAAATTGGGGAGCTTGTAGGTAGGGTTAAGGAGAAAACAGGCTATCTAGAATTCCATACCTAATCAGACACTTTTCTTTTTTTCTTCTGCCTCTTTGGACTCCTTTGTTCTCCCTGACATTGGTTAAGTAAATGCCTACTAAGTGTTAGGCACTGTACTAAATGCTTTTCATGTATTAATTTATTGAATTCTCCTCACAAGTCTGTGGGGTATTATCATCCCCATTTAACTGGCAAGGAAACTGAGTCACAGCAATGCTAAGTGGCTAGAAGTTGGCAGCTAGGAACTGGCTGAAAAGGGACTGTAATCTGTGTCTGTTGAGGTCTGCACCACATCCTGCCTCACGTTCTCACCCTATAATCTGACACTAGCCTCGCTCTAGTGGGAAACATCCGCTGTTCCTCACAACCTCAGAGGGAGTGAGAAGGCTGGCCACTTTCATGCCTGAAAGGCTCAAATTACGGAATCAGAAATCAAAATGTTTTGAACAGGTATTTCAAAAGGAAGAAATTCAAATGTAAAAGAAACGGTATAAAGAGATTGGGCGTGATGTGGTAAAAAGTGCCATCGTTTGTAGCTGAGCTGACAGGGGATAAAATCCTCGTTGTTCAACCTCTTATCTGTGTGGACTTGGAAAGTCAACTAAAAAGTCTAAACTTTGGTTTCCTTACCTCTAAAATTAGAAAAATAAGGTTTACCTACCAAAGTCATTGGGTGTCATTGATAAGGCTTAGTCTGTTTTATTTTATTATTATTTTTAAATTAAAAAAAATTTTTTTTTAGTCACGCCGCACTGCATGTGGGATCTTATTCCCTGACCAGAGATCGAACCCGAGCCCCCTGCAGTGGAAGCGTGGAGCCTTAGCCACTGGACCGCCAGGGAAGTCAGGCTTAGTCCATTTTAATGTTCAATGTATGTTAGCTGATATCACTGAAAGACTGTTGAGATACCAACTATAATCTGAAACAATGATCCCCCCGCACACCTCCCACCCAGGTGACATCCAGTATTGACAAGGTTTTGCAAAATGGATGATAGACTCATTGATTTTTGGTGGCATTATAAAATGGTACTCTCTTTTTGGCAGTCAGTATTGGCTATACATACATAGCAGAATCAAAAAATAGATTTATCCTTTGGCCCAGCAATTTCACTAAGAGTGAGTGTCTTCTTAAATTCTGTGCTCATAGGCATTTTGTTTACCTCACCCTGGTCCCAGGCCTGAAAGAATACAGGAAAGAAAGGGTCAAATCATGTCAAGTCTGTGTTTAGCCTGCTATGCTACCCAGAGTAAGGGATAAAAGAGCTTAACTACATAGTCTACCCCTTTGAGCTACACTGGGGGCAGTGGGAGAAGAACACTCAACGACAGTGAATTCTATGTGAAGTAAACCTTTTTTAAAATTTTGAAACAATTTTTGACTTAACAGAAAAGTTGCAAAAATAGAAGAGTTCTCATATGCCCTTCACCTAGCTTCCTTTAAAATTAACATCTCATATAGTAAGATGATCAAAAATTGAAAATTAACATTGGTACAAGAGCATTAACTCAACCACAGACAAAACTATTTGAATCTTAATAGTTTTTCCATTCTCTGTTCAAGGATCCAATCCAGGATTCCACCCTGCATTTAGTTGTCATCTCTCTCTTTAGTCTCCTCCTATCTGGAGAAGTGCCCCAGGTTTTTCTTGCTTTTCATGACTTTGACATGTTTGAAGAGTACCTATGTGGAATTAACCTCTTCTCCAAGGAGCCCTGGGTCTTTTCCTTGGAGAACAGCATTTAGAAAAGATCTGGGTGCTAGGCGGGCTCATTGCTGTTGGGTTCTCATTGCTTTTAGGCTCCTTCAGTAAAGAGAGGGGATATATGTATATTTACTCATACACATGAATGAATGTGTGTACATGTACATATATGGATATGCATACATATGCCCATCATTATCAATCAAAACTGTGACTTCACACTGATACCTCTAATTCTAATCCAATTCCATGAGGTTTAATTCTAGCTTTCCTCCTTGCCTTATTTTAAGTTCTTTTTCAGACAGTAAAAAACTTAGCTTTCATTATCTACAATATATTTACTTATTTGTTCAATCCAACCCTTTTATGTACACATGGTGCTTTCAGAATTGCTAACCGACACCTCTGTAAGAAACCAATTTACCAACTAGATTACAGTGTTGTGTACAGTTCTTTTTGCTTTTTTAGCTTTACAGGATCAAGTCAAAACACTGTTTTCCAAAGTTACTTAGGTTACTTCTTTTCTTTCCTGTCCCCTTTGGTGTGGTAATGTAAGATCTATTCAGAAAAAGGTCACTCCCTCTTCATCTCTGCTGTCCTGTTACCATCCCCTCACCCCCGTTTCCTATCCATCCCCTGTCTTTTTAGTTTCTGGTTTATCTTCCTTTATCTATTTTGTACTTATGTGGAGAGGAACTGAGACCCAACCCACAGCCCCAGCTTTGCACACCTTTGTGAATATACCAAAACCCACTGAATTGTGCTTTAAAAGGGTGAATTTTATGGTATGTGAATCATATGTCAAATTTTAAAAAGCCGTGAGTTAGAAATCCTTTTTATTCTTAAAAAGGAAACAGCTGGAGCTAAGCTCTGTGTTCAATGCCATTCTCTAATCAGCATCTGGAATAACTGGAGCTATCATATCGAATAGAGGGCCAGTTTCTTGTGAAATTATAATTAATATTCTTCTAGCCAGAAAACTGGCCATGATATAAAAATTTTCATAGAAAATTGAGCATTTCCAGATGCACATGAGGGCAAAACATTTCTATGTCTCAGGCTTTTATCAGGTCACGTGTAAATGAATCTTGATTTCCTTTGCTTGTCCTCTGGGCCCATTGTTATAAAAGTTGTTAGAAATCTTGGCAGCTCTGCAGAAGAAGTCATATCCTGTACGAAACAGGACGGATGCCAAAGATCATTTTGGTTTATGAGCTCTTGTTTTTTAGTTAAAGTATACAAGTCTTTAACCTTCCTGTGGAGAGAAGACTAAGAGTCTGTTACCTCTAAATGGGGAGGAGCTGGCTCATGCAGTAAGTGCAGCACAGAGAAGAGGTCCAGCTCACATAGTTATTTCTCTAACCAAACATTGTCTCCTGGGGAAGGATAATGAACCAATAAAGACCAGATGATTTACAACACGCTTGGTAAAGGAGAAGATCAATATTACAAAACCAGTATATATGGAAATCTATTTCTGTGCTTAGATGCGCATTCAGCCCCAGCTCATGCCAGCAACTCGTCAGTTTATATCTGGTGGAAATACCTTTCCAGAAGGTTGCAACTGAGAACACAGTTTTATGATAATGAGGAGGTGCTATGGAAGAAGTTGTGACATTTGTTTCCCTATATATTATTGTGGGAATCCTAACTGCAGATTAAATTCCTGTCCTTCTGCAGCTAGATGGAAGATTCTCCATTTCTTGGAGTGACTCTGTCTGCATACTCAGTGGCTACAGACTTGTAGACAGGCCCAGCTTTCTTCATGAAATGTAGTAACTTCCATTAGGGAGAGGCTGTGTATAGGCTACAAGTAACAGAACCCACTTACCTGCCCCTTTTTCCCAAACGAAACATAAAAATAAGAAAGCAAGAGCCTGAGGGCAGGGATATAAAGAGCTCTTCAAAATGACTGGAACCAGGGACTTGAATAGGGTTGCTATCTCTTTCTGTCTCATCTTTGTTCTTCTTTATTGCAGACTGTCCTTGTCTGAAATAGGGAGTGGGTGTGTGCCTCAGGATAGACAAAATCATATAAAATGATGGGACTCATCTTGACAGGCTGGAGTGGAAACTGCAAAGATTCAACCTGTGGTAGCACAGTGTTAATGAAAATAATTAATAAATAATCTCTGATAACAAAAGAGTTTTATTTGAGCCAAACTAAGGATTAGCCTGGAAGCCAGCTTCCCGGATTACTCTGAGAAGCTGCTCCGGAGAAGCATGGTTTCCAGCACAGTTTTATATCTTGTCAGAACAAAGAACATTAAACAAGTTAGGGATACATATCTTCAAGGTTTCAAAAACAAGCAAACAAAAAAAACACACATAGATCAGCACATATAAAAACAACAAAACAAAACACATAGATCAGCACAAGTCAGCATGGCCTTGGCCCCTGGAAAGGGAGTCTTATCATCAAAGGAGTACCACGGTTAGTGTTCCAGGAAGAGAGGCATTTAATCTTTATTTTTCACTTGGACATTCTTTACTACTGGTCAGTGTGCCCTTTTCTATACTAATTAAAGCAGATGTACAATGTATGTTTGATAGGCCATAAACAGGCTATTTTAGTTAGCATAAAATTCAAGTTAACTCATGCATAAGCCAGAATGACTTCCGTATATCTCAATATGTGAAAATTTCTTTTATCACAGGCTTGGCTGGCACTTGGGAGAAGCATGCTGAAGAGGAGGGCACAATTGACCCAGTGTGTCCTTTGGTCCCTGTGTGATGACTCAGTAGGAACCCAGGAACTGAGTTGTGTGTCTCTGGTTTCACTGGCATCCCACTGCACTCAGATGACCTCTCTGTTTTTACTTCTGTGTTTTTGAAATTGATAAAACTCACATCCTGTTCTGTACCCATAATTAAGAAACGTGTACATTGCCCAATCGTTGAATCTAATTAGTTGTTTAAAAAATCAATATGAATATTATTGTGGCTCTGTGACTATTTTTTTTTTTAACATCTTTATTGGGGTATAATTGCTTTACAATGGTGTGTTAGTTTCTGCTTTATAACAAAGTGAATCAGTTATACATATACATATGTTCCCATATCTCTTCCCTCTTGCGTCTCCCTCCCTCCCACCCTCCCTATCCCACCCCTCCAGGCTGTCACAAAGCACCGAGCCAATATCCCTGTGCCATGCGGCTGCTTCCCACTAGCTATCTACCTTACTACATTTGTTAGTGTGTATATGTCCATGACTCTCTCTCGCCCTGTCACAGCTCACCCTTCCCCCTCCCCATAACCTCAAGTCCGTTCTCTAGGAGGTCTGCGTCTTTATTCCTGCCTTATCCCTAGGTTCTTCATGACATTTTTTTTTTCTTAAATTCCATATATATGTGTTAGCATACGGTATTTGTCTTTTTCTTTCTGACTTACTTCACTCTGTATGACAGACTCTAGGTCTATCCACCTCATTACAAATAGCTCAATTTCGTTTCTTTTTATGGCTGAGTAATATTCCATTGTATATACGTGCCACATCTTCTTTATCCATTCATCCGATGATGGGCACTTAGGTTGTTTCCATCTCTGGGCTATTGTAAGTAGAGCTGCAATGAACATTTTGGTACATGACTCTTTTTGAATTTTGGTTTTCTCAGGGTATAGGCCCAGTAGTGGGATTGCTGGGTCATATGGTAGTTCTATTTGTAGCTTTTTAAGGAACCTCCATACTGTTCTCCATAGTGGCTGAACCAATTCACATTCCCACCAGCAGTGCAAGAGTGTTCCCTTTTCTCCACACCCTCTCCAGCATTTATTGTTTCTAGATTTTTTGATGATGGCCATTCTGACTGGTGTGAGATGATATCTCATTGTAGTTTTGATTTGCATTTCTCTAACGATTAGTGATGTTGAGCATTCTTTCATGTGTTTGTTGGCAGTCTGTACATCTTCTTTGGAGAAATGTCTATTTAGGTCTTCTGCCCATTTTTGGATTGGGTTGTTTGTTTTTTTGTTATTGAGCTGCATGAGCTGCTTGTAAATTTTGGAGATTAATCCTTTGTCGGTTGCTTCATTTGCAAATATTTTCTCCCATTCTGAGGGTTGTCTTTTGGTCTTGTTTATGGTTTCCTTTGCTGTGCAAAAGCTTTGAAGTTTCGTTAGGTCCCATTTGTTTATTCTTGTTTTTATTTCCATTACTCTAGGGGGTGGGTCAGAAAGGATCTTGCTGTGATTTATGTCATAGAGTGTTCTGCCTATGTTTTCCTCTAAGAGTTTGATAGTTTCTGGCCTTATATTTAGGTCTTTAATCCATTTTGAGCTTATTTTTGTGTATGGTGTTAGGGAGTGATCTAATCTCATACTTTTACATGTACTTGTCCAGTTTTCCCAGCACCACTTATTGAAGAGGCTGTCCTTTCTCCACTGTACATTTCTGCCACCTTTATCAAAGATAAGGTGACCATATGTGCGTGGGTTTATCTCTGGGTTTTCTATCCTGTTCCATTGATCTATCTTTCTGTTTTTGTACCAGTACCATACCGTCTTGATTACTGTAGCTTTGTAGTATAGTCTGAAGTCAGGGAGCCTGATTCCTCCAGTTCCTTTTTTTGTTCTCAAGATCGCTTTGGCTATTCGGGGTCTTTTGTGTTTCCATACAAATTGTGAAATTTTTTGTTCTAGTTCTGTGAAAAATGCCAGTGGTAGTTTGATAGGGATTGCATTGAATCTATAGATTGCTTTGGGTAGTAGAGTCATTTTCACAATGTTGATTCTTCCAATCCAAGAACATGGTATATCTCTCCATCTATTTGTATCATCTTTAATTTCTTTCATCAGTGTCTTATAATTTTCTGCATACAGGTCTTTTGTCTCCTTAGGTAGGTTTATTCCTAGATATTTTATTCTTTTTGTTGCAGTGGTAAATGGGAGTGTTTTCTTGATTTCACTTTCATATTTTTCATCATTAGTATATAGGAATGCCAGAGATTTCTGTGCATTAATTTTGTATCCTGCCACTTTACCAAATTCATTGATTAGCTCTAGTAGTTTTCTGGTAGCATCTTTAGGATTCTCTATGTATAGTATCATGTCATCTGCAAACAGTGACAGCTTTACTTCTTCTTTTCCAATTTGGATTCCTTTTATTTCCTTTTCTTCTCTGATTGCTGTGGCTAAAACTTCCAAAACTATGTTGAATAAGAGTGGTGAGAGTGGGCAACCTTGTCTTGTTCCTGATCTTAGTGGAAATGCTTTCAGTTTTTCACCATTGAGGATGATGTTTGCTGTGGGCTTGTCATATATGGCCTTTATTATGTTGAGGAAAGTTCCCTCTATGCCTACTTTCTGGAGGGTTTTTATCGTAAATGGGTGTTGAATTTTGTTGAAAGCTTTCTCTGCATCTATTGAGATTATCATATGGTTTTTCTCCTTCAATTTGTTAATATGGTTTATCACATTGATAGATTTGCGTATATTGAAGAATCCTTGCATTCCTGGAATAAACCCCACTTGATCATGGTGTATGATCCTTTTAATGTGCTGTTGGATTCTGTTTGCTAGTATTTTGTTGAGGATTTTTGCATCTATGTTCATCAGTGATATTGGCCTGTAGTTTTCTTTCTTTGTGACATCCTTGTCTGGTTTTGGTATCAAGGTGATGGTGGCCTCGTAGAAGGAGTTTGGGAGTGTTCCTCCCTCTGCTATATTTTGGAAGAGTTTGAGAAGGATAGGTGTTAGCTCTTCTCTAAATGTTTGATAGAATTCGCCTGTGAAGCCATCTGGTCCTGGGCTTTTGTTTGTTGGAAGATTTTTAATCACAGTTTCAATTTCAGTGCTTGTGATTGGTCTGTTCATATTTTCTATTTCTTCCTGATTCAGTCTTGGCAGGTTGTGCATTTCTAAGAATTTGTCCATTTCTTCCAGGTTGTCCATTTTATTGGCATAGAGTTGCTTGTAGTAATCTCTCATGATCTCTTTTATTTCTGCAGTGTCAGTTGTTACCTCTCCTTTTTCATTTCTAATTCTACTGATTTGAGTCTTCTCCCTTTTTTTCTTGATGAGTCTGGCTAGTGGTTTATCTATTTTGTTTATCTTCTCAAAGAACCAGCTTTTAGTTTTATTGATCTTTGCTATTGTTTCCTTCATTTCTTTTTCATTTATTTCTGATCTGATTTTTATGATTTCTTTCCTTCTGCTAGCTTTGGGGTTTTTTTGTTCCTCTTTCTCTGATTGCTTGAGGTGCAAGGTTAGGTTGTTTATTCTATGCTTCTTGAGGTGGGCTTGTATTGCTATAAACTTCCCCCTTAGAACTGCTTTTGCTGCATCCCACAAGTTTTGGGTCGTTGTGTCTCCATTGTCATTTGTTTCTAGGTATTTTTTAATTTCCTCTTTGATTTCTTCAGTGATCACTTCATTATTAAGTAGTGTATTGTTTAGCCTCCATGTGTTTGTATTTTTTACAGATCTTTTCCTGTAATTGATGTCTAGTCTCATGGCGTTGTGGTTCTGTGACTATTTTTAAAGGCAGAGCCAAACTTCATTTTTCTTTATCCATTTGATACACCCTTACTAGTTGCTGGGCACTTTTCTAATCACTCTGCAGTTATTAACTTGTCCTCATGACAGCCCTATGAGGAAGGACTCTTATTAACCTTATTTTATGAGTGATGAAACTGCCAGGCAGAAAAGCAACAAGCAGAAGGTCACAGAGTTTGTTAACTGAAGAGTCAGGATTTTTTTTTTTCTCTGAAGTTTCTATTCACTTATTACATACTTTAATCATCTTCTCGATGCCAGTTTCAAATCTTGGGAATTCTGTGTTCCCTGGATTGCTCCTTCCTAAAAACCTCTATCTACTTGCCCAGTTTGGGCTAGTTGTTCTCTAAACCTGCTGGGTTTCTATCCACCTGAATCTTTTCTTTATTTGTCCCCAGGATTTTTCAGATTCTAAGTCATCCTTTTTCATGGTTCACTCTCTCATTTAGCTCACTTGCATTGAATGTGACTTCCTAAGACAGGAAGTATGGGAAGTGCATTTTTTGAGTCTTTCCACGTCTGAAAAAATTTTTTACTCTTCCCTCATACTTTATAGTTCAACTAGACTTATAATTCTATGTTTAAAATAAATTCCCCTATGGGAAGGAGGAATGAGGTGGAAGGGGAGACTCAAGCCAAAAGAAGGCAAGAAAGAAGAGGGAAAAGAGAGAGCTAGAAAAAGAGAAATAGAAAGCAGAAAATAAGATGGCAGATTTTTCCCCCCAGATGTAGTACTCACTTTAAATACCTCAGTTAAAACACAAAGTTCTCAGATCAGATTTTTAAAATAAAGAAATAGATCTAGCCACACATTCTAATCAAGATTTGCAGGAACATAATATACAGAAACTTTAAAAGTCAAGGGATAGATAAAAGTCTACCAGGCAACTAGACAAAAGCAAGCTAGTGTCACTGTATTACTATGAGACAAGTACTATTATAATGCAGTGAAAGTGCATGAACCTCTGTGGTCTCTCCCCACATGGGTGAGCTCAAAAACGCATGGAAAAAAGCAAGTCAGAAGAATACACAGGGTAGGAAGATATTTATAGAATTTCACATAATGAATATATGTTTTACAATACATATTTCCAAACCAAAATTATATTGGTCATCAAGACATGCATATGTGGTGAAACTATAATGGAAGTCAAGGTGGGGAAAGAGCAGGATCAGGGTGTGGACCTCAAGTATATAACAGGTACTGGTGATATTAAGTATCTTCAGTGGAGTGGAGGGTTCATGGATGTTCATTTATTATTATTTTGAAGCCGTTTTTGTATGTTATGTGCACTCTTGTCTACAAATTTCCTTTGGAATTTTGAAAGCATTGCTCCATGGTCTTCTACTATCTGATGTGACTGAGGAGAAGTCAATCTAATTCTTATTCCTTTGTAAGCAATATGTTTTTGGAAGCTTTTAGAATTTTCTTTTTTATGCTTGTGT